TGGCAGTGGCGGTGGCAGTAGCAGTAGCAGTAGTAGTAGCAGTAGTAGTAGCAGTAGTAGTATGTAGTAGTAGTAGTAGTAGTAGTAGTAGTAGTAGTAGTAGTAGTAGTAGTAGTACCAGTAGTAGTACCAGTAGTAGTACCAGTAGTAGTACCAGTAGTAGTACCAGTAGTAGTAGTAGTAGTAGTAGTAGTAGTAGCAGTAGTAGTCCGTAGGTTTCTCGCATGTGGGTATCTTGGTTTGTGCTATAAGAAATCATATCTACGCTTGACCGACTTGAAAACTTACCTTCAGCTGCTTGCAGAGCCCTGAATTTTCAGTACAAGCCAGACTAAAGACCTCAGTCTGTAAAACCCCAAGTCAATGGCATGCCGTAGGCAGTGGGACACATGATCCCCCACGCACAAACTCAATCCACAGCCCTCTACCCTGTACCCCATTCTCTTACCTAGGAACATCCATGAACTATAAAACCATAAGCTCCTAAACCCAACTTTGAGCTGAAGAAACCCCTAAGCAACCCCGAAGAGAAGGTCCTCGACGCACCTGACGACCAAGTCGAGGCTCCTTTTCAGTATGTAGTGCTTGGGGTGAACGGCCTAGAATCTTAGGTTTACTTGCAGGTTGCTGTGGGAGAGGGCATGGGGCTTTCGGCATCTATAGGTGTTCAGTGTTTGGAGTTCAGGATTCGGGCCTCGTGGCAAAGTCGATACGATTTTGTCGCGCCTCTCTTCCTGCTTGCGAATACTGAATACTGCTCGCGACTGCCCGCGCTTAAGGGCATCAAGGATCAGGGCTTCAGCAACGAAGACATGTCAAGCCATTGCATAGAAGCCTCCATGAATAAGGCCTTACAAACCTCACGCGAAACATCCTGAAGCCAGTATCAGGCATGCACCTCTTCAGCCCTACAACCTGAACCCTTAGGCTCCTGCCTTTGCTGACCAGGCCGGCAGCCAGCAGTCCGTGACAATCTCGGTCGTGAAGGCACAAGGGCTTCTAGGGCTGGGCTCATGAAGGTCGGTTCACAGTTTGCGGGTTTGGGTTGTTGCGGTCCTCTTGGGCTTAGGCTTAGATTTCTGCACGTGTTTTGTCCTCGCTGGTGTAAGCACCATGGCCATGAACATCGTCAGGGGCAAGCATCGCCAGCAAGAATATCGTTGGGTGACGAGTTTGTAGTACTTTGGGTGGAGACCAAACGGAAAGCTTCAGCGCAGGGAGCCTGAGCATGGCATTCTCACCCTCCTTAGCCGGTTCTGGAATCTGTTTTTGGACATGAACTTTGCAAAGCAAGAGCTTGTGGCATCGTCGCTTTTATTAACATGGCAAAGGATTCGAGGCTGAGGAGCTGTGCAAGTCCGGAAAGTACCCTGGAGCTAAGCAGAAAACAGTCACCCAAGCAGTCGGGGGGGGGAGGACAACGAGTGGCATCTTGTTTGGGGTCTGTTTTCTAAGGATCCTTTTCGGTCGCTTCTATACTCTTTCGGGCTTGTTGCTTTCTGAAGCTCCTCTGTGGGTTTGTGGATCAATACAGGTTGTTGGGTTCGGGCTTGGGGTCCCCCCATCTGGTTGCAGAGGAAGCTGCAAACTCCTGTAGAATTTAGAACCTCGTGCCGAGGCGTTGGAATTCATCATGGCGCACAACCGTTTCACTCACAAACCTCATATGCCTACGCGGCCAAGCCAACAAATCAGAAGCAAGTGTAAGGCGCGGCTGAATAAACACCCCCCCCCCCCCATTACCTGAATGAATATTCTGACAGGGATTATAAGGCCTTACAGACACGTGTTTTCTCATCCGGGATTCCTGAAAAAACGCACGAAACCACATAAAGCCTGGTGAAACTCGGGTAGAAAAGATTTTGTCAAGTATCTAAAACCGCAACCATTAAACCCTCAACCGCAACAAGCCTCAAAAATACTGTCGGGTTTCTGACTATCAATCATTTATGGTACTACACACCCCCGAACCCTGTCTTAATACTTGCGGCCCTTATACTAGTACTGTAGCAAGGTTTTTGTGTTATAAGGCCTTAACCATTAAACCGCGAAGAAACAAATCAAAACCCTATATTATAAACCATTAGAGCCTTACTCTTGGCTCTCAGGCCGTTCTAGGCGCCGTGGGCGCTCATGTCCAGCGTGCCCTTGGAGACGGACGCGGTGGCAGCCAGGTGCCTGAGGGCTCATAGTTAGGGCTTAGGATTCAGCGGTTTTGGGGTTCGTAGCTTTTTTGAGGTTTGGCGCTTACACGGGCGTTAACTGCGCTTAGTAATTTTGGGAGGGAGTGTTTCAGGTTTTTGGGATGTGCGGGGGTATTCGATTTAGGGGACGGCGTGGGGTTTAGGTGACTTTGTACCACGCGGGATTGCCGTCTACAGGGGCGACAATTCCTGACTGGCTAGAGGAATAACGTTGAAGTTACTAGGTTTCGTAAACATGACCCTGGCTTTCGAAGCGATCGACAGCTGGACCCTCAACCGGGCAAAACACATTTCAGAGTGCAGCTCGAGTGCAGATTTGCCATACTTGGTCGACCAACTCCGAGCCACTATACCTTCATGTCCGGAAGTCCTGGTTCACTGGCTGTACTTTGCTGAAGTTATTACTGTTATTGTTGTGATGATTGTTGGTATTGATGTCGTTGATGTTATTGTCGGCTTGGGTTCCACATGTGTTCACGTTAGTTTCCTACTGTTATTTTCAGGACAGCACAGTGTGACCATGAGTTTCGTTGTTGTCCATTGTTGCATGATTTCGATCATGGCTAGTATCAGTACGTGTATATATATATATA